CCGTCAACTAAACAAATAAGGAAAGCAGACAATAAAATATCAATCAGAGAAAAGTGACAAAAACTAGAAGCTGAGAATTAGTGCTTAAGAAATGAAATCAAAGGCTTTTCAATAAATAAGAAGCACACATTTACTGATTGGTAGATATCTGAACAAGTTAGTATCAGAACTCCACTATCAACTTACAGAAAATTTAAGATAATAAATAGAGCCAACTTTAATTATTTCTAAGCATCACTGCACCTTAAGTTCAGAGCAAGTATCTTGACTTTCAAAGAAGAGCTTATTTTTGTGTGTCAACTCAGATAACTACATAACAGCTTGTTCACCAAGAAGGAAACTACATATTCTTCATCCACAAAACTAACATGTTTCCAATATCTATTATGATTCATGCTCAACTATGCACACAATAATGTAGATATTCGAACAACATTTTCCAATCAACATAATGTCGTGACAGTTTTAAATTGGATTTAAAATTCATATATACACATACTAATTGCCATATAAGATTCCGCATTTCCTCCTTTCCTGCTTCAGTTGTCTTCAACCAATGCCACCATTTTGAAGGACGTAATACCTGAATGTGCTTCACCTCATCCACTTTTTCTTTGTAAGTATAGTTTTCAGCTTCTTCCACCGTATACATGAGCTTTGACAAAGACACACCTTCATGGCGAAATACAAGCCATATATCATTAGATAGTGATTCAAATGACTCTACATATCTTGCAATATGGTTCAAGCCGTCTTCAGGAGCAGATCTCCGTGGTTTAAAATTATTTGGAAACGTAGATTCAGAATCCCAGGTGATTTCTGATTCCAGAATAGCTGATTCATTTGTTTCTAACAGACCATAAAAATCTGACTGTGACTCCTCCAAGGGAGACCTTGATGTTTGAGTTGAGAGCAGACCGCCAAGGCACACGGAGGCATTTAAAAAAATTTCACCAAAATGCTTCTCTCTTAGACCACTTAAATAGACAGCAGGACCTCTCTCCACCTGTCCACAGAGATCAAAATTTTCAATATTATAACATTCAATCTGTCCTTTCAGAGAAACATAAAGTTTAACTCTAGAAAGACAAATATCCAGAAACGAGGAAGAATAGTAATTCAACCATCGATAATGCATTCCAAAACTTACCATTATACGCTTCAAAATGAACAGCTCATCGGAAAACTCAGCACCAGAATCATGAGATGATTTGTTATTAGAAGAGTTGCCACTAAACAAATTAATGTGAATGCCACTGAATGAGGTATTCTTGTTTTCGTCACTCTGACTTGAAGCATTACTAGCATTGCTGCTTTGATGACAATTCCAATGAAAAGCCAGCCACACTTCACCATAAGATCCACGACCAAATCTTTTCTTTAGGACGTACCTAACAACCAAGAATTACAGAAGTCTCAAAGTTCTGCTGAAAAACCAAAAAGGTCCACAATCTAAGTAGCAACAAGTTATTAGACGCATAATTTTGAAAAAAGAAAAAGTTGTTAGGTCCAAACAAAAACAGATCATTAAGCACTATGTACATTAGCACAAGATGCTGCTCCTTAAATCTTACTTAAGTTTACAATCCAGGCAGAGATGATAACCCACACGCAGTTGACTCTTATGTTTTATATGATCACTCTAAGCCTGAAGAAATTGTTACTCATTATGCATATTGATGATATTGTTAGCACAGGTGATAATAATCAGGAGATTCAAGACTTGACTATTTTCATCAAATTTTATTTCATAGTAAATATTTGGGTTCCTACTACGTCTTGGGTGGAGTAGCTAGATCAAAATTGGGGATTTGTTTATCATAGAGAAAGTATGTTCATGACCTCAACGAGACAGGTATGTTTGGATCTTATCCAGTTAGTACAATGCATCTTAATCCCAATTCCTGTAGATGAAGGTGAACTTCTGGACGACCCCAATGTACATAGGAGGTTAGTTAAAAAAATCAAATTATCTCACAGTCACCCATCTCAGAATCTCATTCTCTATAACTGTTGTAGATCAATTTATAAACTCCCCTTGAACTAGGAACTTGAAGGCAGTTATGATATTCTTGAAATGTCTCAAAGATGAACTGAGGAATGGATTTCTCCATAAAAATCATGGGAATATTTTGATCCAAGAGCATGTACATGTGCAATTATAGGTGCGTCTACCACAGATTATGTGTCTCTAAGGGTAGTGAGATGGTGTCTTTGAAGAGCAAGTCAAGTTGCGAAATTGAGTACTGACTCAGAATATTGAGCAATGACTGATACTATTTCTGAGTTTATTTGGTTGAAAAAGTTACTTTAGGAACTTGTTTTTAGATATTTACAACCCATTGAATTACCACGCGATAGCCAAGCAGTGATTCACATATCTCCAAATCCAATTTTTCGAGAAGACTAAACAAATTGAGGTTGATTGTTATTTTACGCCCAAAAAAAGAAAAAGAAACTTTTTTAGAGTGTAATTCTGATTCTCCTTGTGAAGTCAGCTGAATAACTAATTGATATGCTCACAAAATTCTTAGGGGGAGTTCCTGGGAAGTTCATATGTCACGAATAAGGGGCATATCATATATACCCTTCAGCTCAAAGGGAACTATTACAATATGTCAAATATTTTCTATTACTTACTTTCTTCTACAGGTTTATCTTACATAGTTGAATTTCCTATTCATAGCTTTCCTTATAAATGACTACGTTTTTCTTCTGAACACAAATGAAGTTAGAATATTTTCTCCAACACATCATAATTTATTTTCGTCAAAAAGAAAAGATATCATAATTTATCACTCACTTTATCCATATAAATTTTAATTTTGATTTCTGTAGAAATGACATGCATTTAAGTGACATGAAAAAAGTTAATAAGATAATTCCCCCATGAAGCAATAAGTATCTTAGCATATCTAGGAAAAGCAAAATGTAAAAATTTTACCTTGAGTCAGGTATGGCATGGTCATCTGATCCATTGTAATCATGGAAAGGTATTGATTCAAGCAAGCCAAGGAAGCTAGCAAAGCCTTCAGGATTTATGCACTGATCTTTAGCCCAATTAGTAGTCACTCCAAAGCGCAAGCATGACTGCTGATTATTATACAAATTTAGAGCTCCACCTAATGTAGAAGTTAGAACAATTTGAAAAGAGATTAGCATAAACAATACATCATTGCTATCAGGATTTAGAGGAAGTTAACAGGCTCCATGACCAATTAAAATAAAGGAAAAGCAAGTAAATGGATTTCTTGGCATCACAAGAACTTGCAGTTGCGAGGACTAAACAACAACGACTATAACAAATCCATTCTCCACTCTTGGAAGAAAAATGGTGGAAGTGTTTCACAAAAGAAACTTCACTTACCACAGCACGGTGCAAGAGAATCAGGTAGAGCCTGAGGTAGGTGATACCCATAATCTTCCATGTCATCCCTTTGAGCACGTGGAGTGTCATCTACTTTATCGTTAAGGTTCTCAGCTAAATAAAAGCAGCTAAAGCTGCCATGTTTCCCTTCAACCTGGATCAAGAAAAAAATACTGAATTACACATAAGACATTTCCTCAATCAATGGTGTGCTCTAGTTCTGTTATTGTCCAAGTGTCCAAACTATTGCTGACCTCAAGTCTCAACTGCT